GCAGGCAGATAGAAAAAAGTAGGTGGTTGAATTCAGATTGAATAGAAACAGTTTGATTGGTGGCGTTCCTTGATAGAATTAGAGACTACGAATAGTTTTTCTTTATTCATTACCCTTGATTAAAAGATTAACATCACGAATGCCTTTTCGTTTTTTCTCTGGGTCTAGCATTGTTTCCTGCAAGTGTAACGAGCCAACTTTTCTAATCAATATAACATTTTCTTTGACGAATGATTGATATATTCAATCTTTTCTATTGTGACATCTGGATATGGAGGATATTGAATGAGATACGACATGACATTCGAGTATCCATCTCCAACATAGTTGTAATATTAAAAAAACAATAATGTATATTCTATCTACTGTTTTTATGTTTGTACAGACCGAGTGTACTGCACTTCATATTTCTGAAAGGAACGCTTGAATGAGTCATGAATACCTTTTAATTCCATGCCAGCTAGAAAAAAGTTTGACATCGATTTATTTTCATAGTTTTCTAATAGAGAAATCCTAATTTACCAGACGAACCATCATAATTTGATTCACAGTCATCATTATGAATAATTTCGTCGTATAAATCTGGATTTTCATTTTTAAAGTTCAATGCACCAGTGCATACTAAACATTTCTTTGACAAACGTTCAGCATCGAGCACTTTTTGTGTTGTAGCGCATAGTAAAACAGTAGCCATTCCATGAATACTTTTAAAACCACATTTTTGCCACATTCCATCTCCAATAACTGTGAACATTGTTGGGTCACCATCTTTCTCGTCAACAGCTTCATCTAAAAGATAGTAAGTATAAAATTAAACGAGGACAGTTTTTTTACAAAATACTTACAACTAGCAGCCTGTATTGATTCATTCTGAAATTTGTTGATCCATGGTAATAAGATTCTTTTATCAGTTTCTTCAAAATGATCTTCCTTTGGTGGTGGAGCTATATTCATCGCACCAAACACTTTAGCAATACCGGCGCAACCAATACCTACCAAATGTGAAACTAGAAAAAAAGCTATAACGTTATCAGGGCTGAACAAACAAGATAAGTGGCTTTTTCTGATTGAATCCAATACTGATATAACTAGCTGTACACGTATTTTAATATCACAATATCTAGTATGTGGAATAATCTTAGATGTGATAATTTGTATTGTATTTTTGCATTTTTCGCAGGCAAATTTTAATGAACAATACAAACCTAGATGCAAAAAGAAAATAACAATGAGTTATATAGAAATGCACATAATCGAGAGCCTATCGTATTCCAAAACTGAGGAAAAAAGTTGGCTCGACAAAAACATAGACTTATGTAGCATTCCTTCAGCTTTACATATTTTTATGGAGGAGAGAATAATTTTTCTAATTATAGAGCTTTTCAATTTTTTTAGAACAAAGTTAAAGAAGCATTTTCTGTAAATAAACCAAAAAAAGCATCACTAACACCAATATCATTTATGCATACTTTCTCTGTTATTAATATTCATTTTCCCATTCCACGGTTTACTTTCAACACATACTGTACTTCGCATCAATTCTAATAAAAAACTGTTATGGATTACTTGATAAAAATCTAATTCATCACTGTCAACTATTGCTTCTTTTTCTTCTGCTTTCATAGGACACTATTTTTGCTGTCAAGTGAATAAGGTAGGTAATGTATTGTGGGAGGATGATAGAGCTGTTGTCGAGTTTAATGAACTAATAAACACTTTTTGAATACTATTTGATAATTCAGCTGATGGCAATGATGATCGAGTTGAATTAGACGGATGTACTTGCTTGATTTTAGATAACTGAGCTTTACGACAAATTTCCGCCTTACTCCTCTTAGGAGACTGATGAGCTTTTGTAGCAGGCATTTGAAGTTCACTCTCTAGAAATACACTGTATCAGAAAATGAAAAATGTCATAAGCCACCGCCAGCAAAGATGAAAGATAAGAAATAATGGTCAATGTAAAACAATACATGAAGTCCCAGGTCGATCGTTCCGGCCACCGGATACTGCAGGAACCGGCAGGAAAGTGCCGAAAAAATCAGCGTATCCTGCAGGAAAACACGGGAAATAGCGGGAAATGGAAGCAGTATTCCGGCCGGAAATTTTCGGAATTTTTTCCGATCATTTTACGATCGGTTCCTGCCGGAAAACACAGGAAATTGGTCGGAATTCACCGGAAAAAATCCGGAAAATTTCCGGCAGGAATACTGCTTCCATGTTTCGGCGATTTACGATGTTTTTCTGTCAGAACCGGCCCGTACTTTTCGACCTGGGGTTCAGCAGAAGTCCATGTTCTACATTTAGACATATTATTGATTGAAAATTCACTAAACAAATTTTCATTCGAGACCTTCAGTAAAAATAGTTCTCTTTTCAGTTATCAAACTGCATAAAAAATACATACAAGCGTGTAGAATATTGAAAAACTTCCAAACAAAATGTTATCTCCTGAATTAATTAGAAAATTGATAAAAAGATGAACGACTTGAAGCGATATCTAAGTATACGGAAGCATGACCACAACTGACGTATGATATATACTTCTAAGAGCACTATGCTATGTCTGCATACATGCCATCTAATAAAGCTTGATGAATAATGCGAAAATGTCAGGTAGCATAAGCAGACTTAGTTAAAACTGAGACATTTTTAGATTAAAAACATTGGTGTGCGTTTTTCTTAAAATCCTTTTTTTTCGAATATAGTGTTTATGCGGGCAAACCTTTCTTGATCACAACTCAATATAAAATTAATAACTTTTTTTATTACACAGCAGACAGCTAGGACTAGGTCGTAATAGAGTCTGAATCTTGAATGTCTCTTTTACTGAAATAAAAAGTTTAGATCTTTGATTTTAATTAGAGATTTTTTTTTTGCTACAAATCTGAGAACTTTTTGAAACATTTTTTTAAACAAATAAAAAGGAATTCGAAAACCAGACTTATTTTCGATCTAGCCATAACTATGATTTACAATTTAAAAACCATCGCGACATGTTTGTTCGCACCCTCATTTTGAAAACTCTGTCCTCGTAAAAGGTACTCCGTGACCAATGAATCGACTATAACTCATGATTAGCTGAGAGATTTAGAGAGATATGTTACTCACAATCTATACTAGCCATGAGTAACATTCTCTGAAATTTTGGTTCAAACCGGATGGAAAATAAAAAAGTTTGTTTCTGAGGGGGGTCCCTTAAGTAGAGCAATATTCTCCGTATCCGTTATTCAGTTAAAATCCATACTCTGCGTATCTACCAAATCTTTTTCGCATTCATGAACGCCATTCCACGCATTTTCTGTTATGTAATGTAATTAGGCAAGATATATAGCTGCAGTAATGAACTCTAGATGCGTCACCTTATTCCATCGTAATGCTACATGCGGATGAAGATCATTTATGATTTCCGTGAGAAAGACATCATCACATAGAACTTCATGTAAGTAATCGATTAATGTAAGCTTCGACTATAAAAGTGGTATTTTTACTACCAAAACGAAGCTTTTTCCTGATAGACCTATGCATTTTGGTTGAAATTACGAAGATAGGCATTGAAAAGAGCGAGAAAAATTCAGATGTAGATGTTCGTGTCAGAGCTACTGCTCATTCAAAACCAGTGTCTTTGGATGGTAGTGACATGGGTGGATAGAGCGATGCTTGAGCGATTCTGTCATCCAAGACTTATCAGGACACAAACAGTAATAATCTTTCAATGATATCATTTTGGAATAGTACTTTTATGAATACCACATGAACAACACAACAAGCTATTTGAATTTAATCAGTGTCATCCGAATTATTTCTTTCACACATCAACATTTAATCGCGACTTTTATAGTGACTGGCTGCTTGATAATAACATAAATGAACTGAAGCTTTCTTACGATAATTCATTTGCCATGCACTGCTTAATCTTCTCTTCTACTTTCATTGGCTATTCAACAGCAAAATAATTGAATCCGACCATATTTAGAATAATTTATGTCATGCATTGTTCAATCGTTTGTTCTACTTCCATCGATTGCTCGAGACTAAAATAATTGAATGTGCCCTTTATTAGGATAATTCATCCTCCATGCTTTGGTTAATCTTCTGTTATACTATCATCGGCTTTTCAAGAGTAAAATAATTGAATACAACATTGGTTAGGATAAATCATTTGCCATGCATTGTTTAATCTTCTCTTCTACTTTCATTGACTGTTCAACAGTAAAATAATTGAATACGATCTTTTTAAGGATAATTCATCTTCCATGCATTATTCAGCCCTCTATTCTACTTCCATCGATTGCTGGACATTAAAATAATTGAATATGAACTTCCTTAGGATAATTCATCTGCCATATATTGTTTAATCTTCTCTTCTACTTACATCGATTGCTGAAAAATAAAACAATTGAATAGGACCTTACTTAGGATAATTCATCTACCATGAATTGCTCAGTTCTTTCTTATACTTTCATCGATTTCTGGAGACTAAAGTAATTGAATATGACCTTACTTAGAATAGTTCATCTATCATCAATTTTCCATCCTTCCGTTCTACTTTGATCGATTGCAGAAGAGTAAAATAATTGAATACGACCTTGGTTAGGATAATTCATCTCTCATGCAGTGTTCAGTCTTCTGTTCCACTTGCATCGGCTGCTGGAGAGTAAACTAAGTGAATACGGCCTTACTTAGGATAATTCATCTGTCATGCATTGTTCAGTCTTTTGTTCTACTTTCGTCGATTGCTGGAGAGTGAAATAATTGCATACGACTTTTTTAAGGATACTTCATTTGTCATGCATTGTTTAATCTTCTGTTCCACTTTCATCGATTGCTGGAGAGTAAGAAAATTGAATACGGCTTTGATTAGGATCATTCATCTACCAAGAATTGTCCGGTCTTTTGTTCTACTTTTATCGATTGCTGGAGAGCAAGATAATCGAATACGAGCTTATTTAGGATAATTCATCTACCACGAATTGTTCAGTCTTCTGTTTCACTTGCATCGGCTGCTGGAGAGTAAAATAATTGAATAGGGCCTTACTGAGGATAATTCATCTGTCATGAATTGTCCGGTCTTTTGTTCTACTTTTATCGATTGCTGGAGAGCAAGATAATCGGATACGAGCTTAGTTAGGATAATTCATCTACCACGAATTGTTCAGTCTTCTGTTCCACTTGCATCGGCTGCTGGAGAGTAAAATAAGTGAATACGGCCTTACTTAGGATAATTCATCTGTCATGCATTGTTCAGTCTTTTGTTCTACTTTCGTCGATTGCTGGAGAGTGAAATAATTGAATACGACTTTCCTTAGGGTCATTCATCTGTCATGCAGTGTTGAGCCTTCTGTTTTACTGTCATCCTCTGTGGGAAAGTAAGATAATTGAATACAACCTTGCTTAGAATAATTTATCTGGCATGGATTGTTCCATCTTCTGTTTTACTGTCATCGATTGTGGGAAAGTAAGATAATTGAATACAACTTTGCTTAGAATAATTCATCTGCCAAGCATTGTTGAATCTTGTGGTTTACTTCCATCTATTTCTATGGAGTATAATGGTTGAATAAGGCGTTACTTAGAATGATTCACTCGCAGTGTTATACTCTAACACAATGTTGGTAGGTAATTTTTAACTTAGGCATGCTGGAAAACGAATCAATGTATTGTAATTGCTATGTGTCTGTTTTGTGTAGAGTTGCATCGCTAAATGTTTTATTATATTTCTGATGCAGTGAGAACGATATATATGCATAGAAATCTGGTAATTCGAGTGGTTCGTTGCCAAAATGATATTCGATAGTATGAACCAGGACGTACTTTTTGTCGAAATATTCAATATTATTGAACAAAGCTATTCTTCAAATGATTCATCGACTGTGTTACCTAGCACTACCTGATGAACTTTTACATTGCATGGTCGATGAGTTACTTGGTTGAACAAAGCTCTGGTTAGTACTTTTCACTTCTGCCGTATTCATTATTCGATGAGTAAATGATGTACTGGGCTTTATTGCGAAGAAGTTTTTTTGAATAGATATTTTATCCAAAATGTTCGCTTTGCATATGAGCTGTTCTATTTCAGCTACCAACAAACATTGCGTGCAAATGATTCATATACTTGAATAAAGTTATTATTAAGTTCATTCATTTCTGCGAGGATTTGTTTCTTCATAATAACCAGATCAGTTTTGCTTCGCAGTTAATAATATACATGAGAGAAAAGATTGTT